TAACAAATCTTTGTGTGTCCAGGAGAGATGTCAGTGAAAGGACACAATAACCTAAAGCTGTGTTTTTGTAAGTTCTTTCAAACAGATACTTGTAGCTATACCTTTTATTGTGCAGTTTTCAGGAACGGACGGTGAAAATATCGACACTAATATATAGGAAGAAGATCCGAACTACTTCGTTATGTTACTCGATACTTTAGAGGGATACTGCCTCACGTCACCTACCAGATAGCGGGATGAAATTTTTGAGTACTTAGCAAAAGCTAACCATCCCTTCTAATTTATAGATGCTATATGTAAATCACGATGGGTCATATTAAGCCACATTAAAGACTTACGTGTTACAAGATTGAAATATGAAGAGACGATCATTTCTTCTGAAGTTTTTTTTGTGAATCTCCAAGATTGGCGTTACGAAGTTGTTACTTATGAAATTTGATTTAGCCAATCAAAATCCTTGTCGATCAACCAATGAAATAATAATGGGGGTTTATTATAAAATTGCATGAACGGTCCCATCAAACCAATAATATATAATTATACTTTTATTTATAATCTAATATACTAAATTTTAGTTAAAAATTTAAAAAACGATTTTGGTAGACCGCCAGTAGGATAAAATATTGGTTGTGTATGAAAATAGCACGTTAATTTTTTTTGAAAAAAATAAAATTAGAAATTATTCATGATCTTGAGTGGTATGCAATATTAAATGAGAACAGCCTATGAGGTGATATAACTATAATTTAAAGTCTCTGATACTTTTTGAAAAGAATTAAAAAGTTCAGTGGATATTAACTACGTGTTTAACGTAAGTATTTGATATATAATATATGCTTTATTTACAAATTTATCAATTTAAATACAAGTTAAGATAATAAATAAGTGACATTTAATATATACATTTGACACCACAATAGGAGTTGTCCCATTCACTAAAAAAAAGGTACAAAAGGGAATTTCAAGTTCAATATGTATTCGACTACTGCAAATTTAGATGAGAAGGAATTAAGTAATTATTATTATTAGTATATATACATAATACGACTCCGTAAGTCAATATATAATATGTAACTTACCATTGTTTTATCTTGAAATTTTCTTCTTAATCCTCTATTTTATAATTTTTTATGTAAAGTCTAGATTCTTTTTTAAAATCTCTTTTATGTTTTCTTGAATAAATTTCTTTCTTGTATCTTAATATTAAATAACGATTATAATATTGACGAACAGATGGATGTTCAAATTGACAAAATTTTCTTCTACAGTCAACCCCATTCCAACACATCCCATCAGGCATTTTCTTATGTTTAGGCTTATTTTTACATTTTCTTTTGAAATTTTTTGAAAATCTTGAAAATTTTTCTGGTAAATCATCATTAACCACCGCAACATCTGCAACTTTTGCAACCTTATTATCCACAAATTTCGTCAAAGTTTTCTTGAGCTCTTGAGATTTATGTTGTACTTCCTTTGAAATTCTTTCAAATTCCACTTCCTTTGAAGGTCTTTCAAATTCTACTTTTTTTAAAACTTTTTTATCTTTTTTTTTCTTTTCCTTTTTTTTACCTTTTTTATCTTTATCAATTTTTTTATTTTTTTGTTTAGGAAATCCGTTTATCAAATCGTTTAATTGACCAATTCTATTCTCAAATAGAAGAACTTCTTTTTTCTTGTTAATATTATCAATTCCTTGTTTGGAAATTTGTTTTGTCGAATCGTTTAATCGATTACTTGCATCATTAATTCTATTCTCAAATAAAAAAATTTCTTTTTTCTTGTTAATTTTATCAATTTTTTTATTTTCTTGTTTAGAAATTTGTTTTGTTGAATCGTTTAATTGATTACTTGCATCATTAATTCTATTCTCAAATAAAGAAATTTCTTTTTTCTTTTTAATTTTATCAACTTTTTTATTTTCTTGTTTAGAAATTTGTTTTGTTGAATCGTTTAATTGATTACTTGCATCATTAATTCTATTCTCAAATAAAGAAAGTTCTTTTTTCTTTTAATTTTATCAACTTTTTTATTTTCTTGTTGAGAAATTTTGTTTAACAAATCATTTAATTGACTACTTGCATCATTAATTCTATTTTCAAATGGAGGAATTTCTTTTTTATTGTTAACATAAATTTTAATTTGTGCTGGAATTTTATTTGTATCAACGTAAATGTGTGTACCAGTTCTTTATGCAATGGGTTTTATATTACGTCCTTCACGACCAATTAATTTACCAATTAAAATATTTTGAGGAATTGGAATAGATAAATTTTTTGTATATTCGGAGTTTTGCATTTTTTTTTGAAAGAGTTGAAGTGTGAGAGAAAGAATGTTTTTAAGATTTTTTTATAAAGAAAATAATTTCCATATTCGTAAACAAAACGCGTGTAACACCTCATGACCTCAAAAGCCTTAAATTAACCATGTGGTATTGTGATAAGCATATCATGACCTTTTTTTTTTTTGTGTCCAGGTTCGTGGCGCAGCAATATTTACGAAAATTTTGAACATTTTCATATTCTAAATATAGTAACATCATTAAGGATTTTTTCTTTGACATAAAGTTTTTGAAATTATATTGTAGATGTAATTTCACCTGCTCTGCAAGTTTACTTAGGATTTGGAAGAAGGTTGACTTTACATATAAATGTAAAAATTTTTGTCAAATAAATCAATAATGATATTTAAAATCGCCTTTGTCTCTAAGTAAACTTGAAGAGCAACCAAAAATTACATCTATTTAGTAATTTTTGAAGCTATATGTTATTATTAAAAAAAAAAAAATCCTCTTTATGATTTTCGTTGCGCCACAATTTGCTGGCTGCGCCGCGAACCTGACACAAAAAAAGGGTGCTGAAAAAATACATGCTCACGTCATGAGATCGTCAACAATTACTAGACCTTTTGTTTTAAAAAATAACAAATTTATATTTAGAAGACCAAGGAGATATTTATTTATTGTTATTACATGTAAAAAAACAAAGGAGTATGTTAAACGAAAACATTTGTTAAAGGCAGCCCTAATTCTATAACTAATCTTCTAATATATATAATTGATAAAAAATAAATGAATATATATAATTGATAATAAAATTAAAATAAATGAATAAATGACTATATATACTGTATATATATATAAATGATAATTTGTATTTTGTATTTAATCGTAATATCTGTTTCGTGGCTAAATATTAATCGGAAAAATGACAAAAAAATATTTTAATTATCAAATAAAAAAAAAAATATTAACAAATTTATATATTGTTAAAATATCTTACTTGTCGTGAATTTGTTGCATACGAGGTTTCTTGATTAAAATTATTTCTTCTTTCCTTCGAATCAAAATCTCTCTGATTTCTTGGTGGTGTTCTTGGTGGTACATGTTGATGATTATCGTCATCCGAAAATCTAACTTTTTTTTCTTCTTTTTTTGTAAGATCTTCTACTAATTGCATCATTTGATAACTTGCTTCCTTAATCCTCTTGTCAGATGAATCATTTTCTACTTTAACTTGAATTTTAATTATTACTAGCTCTTCATTTTCTTTTTTGTCCACATGAATATTTGTACCAGTTCTCGTAGCAATGGGCTTTAGGTTACATCCTTTATGACCAATTAATTTACCAATATCAACAAGGTTGGTAGTTTCAATAGCGGTATAAACCTTAAAGGGGCTTTGGTTTTCCATCTTTGAGGAGAATATGTGAAATGATTTATTGTTTATTATTATTATTATTATTTTTAGGAAAAAATATTTTTTTTTGTTTGAACAATATGAACGCCAAGGGGGATTATTTATAACTTCGAAGCTATCATCAAATTTTCCTTTTTAACGAATAAAAGGAGTTTACAAACAAAAGCAAATTTTTTATTAAATATAAATTTTATTATATTTTTTCCTATTTTTTCAACAAGGACATTTTTTTTTTAACAAAAGCAATAAGTTTTCAATGACAGTTGAATAACAATAGCGATAAGATTTCAATGACGGTTGAATAACAAAAGTTCTATAAATAAACATAATTAATTACCTTTTATGCTTTCAAGAAGATAAATATTAATTCTCTTTCTGCGCATATAAAATAATGTTATTATATGTTTTACTTATAAGTGAACAAAAACCATAAAAAATAGGGATGATCGGACACTGTTTTCCGGATCATCGGACAATAACTTTTGAATTTTTTGTCTTTGTTTACCAAAACATAAGGATTATCATGCGTATCATACACGTGATAATCTCCTCATTTCGTTCTGCGTTAAAACATATTTAAACATCGTAACATCGGTCATACTTTTTTTTCATATTCAATATACAGTATCATTTAATAATTAATATACAGTATCATGATGATTTTACCATAACTTATTGTTGAATTTCAAATATTTTATGAAATAATTTGTTATTTCATTAATTTTATCATTATAAATTGACATCGTTATAATTCCAATTTGACTTATTGGATATGTTGATATATTTGAATCAGTTTTTTCAGCAATGGGTTTTAGGTTACGTCCTTCACGACAAATTAATTTTTTGGAGGAATAATGAATTATTTTTAATATACTCATTTCAAAAGAAAAAAATTAATAGTAATTTATACAATTTATTATTATAATTTTTTTTTCTAGTTTCTGAAATTTTAATATTTTAATAACAAAAAAAAAAACATTTCTAAATAATTTCACGCAAACATAAAATTTTCATTATTAAAAATGATATTTAAATGAAAATAATTTAACCTAACCTTAACCCTAACCTAATGAACAAATAAAATTGGTTCGTCTTTTCTCATTAAAATTATTATATATTATTTTTCTATTATGTAGTCAATATTTTTATTTTTATACTAGATAATGATATATATAATAAATTCTCTTTATTTTCAAAAAGATTTTAAAAGAGATATAATTATTAATTTATTATTAAGATTAAATTGTTTAATAAGAAAAAATTATGCTAGAAATTACTTCTTTAAATATGTTTTTTTATATATGGTTAAAATATAAGTAAACGTTACAAAATTTCTTTCAATATAAAATTTTTAACGTAGAATATTCATATATGTTTTATTAAAATAAAAAATTAAGTTTAAGAAATTAAATATTGTACATATATAGTATATACATTACATATATATTTACTTATTTATATACGTATTTTATTAAATATAAATTATCAAATTTGATATTACAATAATATGCTTTAATATGGTATCACCTGATTAATCTTAATCAAAATATTCAGAATTTTCCGACTAGAATTGTCAATTATTCTACGCAATTCATCACTTTACCTACATAAGACTCATAATTTACGTTTCCTAGTTTATAATAATTGGATAAGTTCTGATAAGTTACAAAGAAAAAGAATTACAAACTAAGAAGTTTAGAGGATACATATATTTAATAACTGGATAAGGAGAAAGATTATATATTCGTAGTTACACAGAAAATAAGATTGTGTCGACTAAGCACACAGATCATATCGTATGGCTCAAGCAACAATTGATTGATCGTGATTTTTGATCGGTTACACTAAAAATTTTAATTAACCGATTAACGTGAACCATGCGATAGCAAAAACTAATCACGTTGATTTTTATTTTTATTTTTTTAGTAATTTAGTTAAAATTTTTTTTTTCGTTATAAAATAAAAAATGTTAAAAGAAATTTTAAAATCATAATTTATTATTTATTCAGTTAATGATACATAATCTAATTGGATGACTAAAATCATAGATCAGCCAAAAATTTTGTAAAAATGTTGAGGACTATCATAATACAAAATTATTACGTCATATAAAAATATCAACTATATTGTGTACGGTATACCATACATACTGACCATACTGAATATGTATATATTATTATGATATTACTTAATTTATTTAATATTAATAATTATATTTACATTAATAACATTATTAAAATCATTATTAAAATTATTAAATTCACTAAAATACTGTGTATAGAATTTTTTAAAAATGGTTTTTATAATCAAAATCAATTTCAGAACAATCATGTTAACATGAATTTTATGTATGAAATATGTTTATGTAGATTTGTTATTTAAAAAATCAAATATAATCTTTAAAATAAATGTAAATTTGATTCACATTTTAAATTTGCGAAGCGAAGAATTTTTTTTCCACGTGGATAAAGTGAAAGAACTCAAACAGTTAGAAGCTCAAGGCTTCAGGAACACCTTTTAATATAAATACCAACTTGGGCGATTAAGTTGTATGATTTATATCTACATAAGGACGGGTATTCAATAAAGAGATTATTTGAAAAAAAAAATGAGATGAGTAAAATAATGAAAGGATAATTTATGAAGGAGTTTTAAATGTAATTGAATAACGAAAAAATGAAAGAGTTCAAAGTATTAATATGATGATCACAAATGACAATATGCATGAATAACAGCGGTATGATCAGCAGGTCGCATCATTTATTTTGTTTTATTGTAATCTTTTATTGAAAAGAAGAAAAGAAACAAATTGATGCTGATCATGTGACACAAAATAATTGCATGTACGAAAAAAAAAAATTTTTATTTCTCGTATTTTAAACTTTTTTAATATTACAAAAATAAAACATTTCAATACGAAAATTTGACTAATAATATGTAATTTTGTCAACTTTTTATTAAATGAAAAAATTTTATATAATCGGTCTTTAACCGATCCAACCCTAATTAGTTAAGGAGGTTTACCGTTTTAGATTATTTAAAAAAATTTTTTTTTTTGTTATTACTTTAATCGACTAGTGATCCAACCCTAATTAGTTAAAGAGGTTTACCGTTTTAGATTATTTAAAAATTTTTTTTTTGGCATTCAATAATGTATCTGAAGAAATCGAAATTTTTTTTTTTTTTAATAACAGATTGGTTTGTAAAAAGTTTCTGTTTGAACTTTGAATATGAAAGAATATTTTCATATTATTCATATAGGGATAGGATAGTACTATTATAAAAAATTATTTTAAAAATTACAATTTCTTTACGAAGAAAATAAAAAAAAAAAAATTTGTTTATACAGATGAGATTCGATTTCGGATTTATTTTTTATCACGGAGTGTTTCCATTTTAATATTTGTACTCACATCTCTTATGTAAAGCCTTCGCCTAATAATCATTAGTTGTTTATTTTGATTGGTTGAAGATTTTTAATTGAAAGAAACAAAAAAAATCCGGAATGTCCCAGAATTAATTTCAAATGGCGTAGTCCATTTGCCATCTGTCATTTGTCGTACTTTGTATAATTGTCACAACTGTCAAAATGTTCTTTCCCAAATATGGCCAAGCTAATAACATCCATGCAGCCTTTTTTTTCAATATCCGATCGAAGCTTCTTAATTTTATTTAAAATTCCGAAAATGTGACATGACGTATATTATTTTCTACTGACTCCAGTTTAGTCACATCAAAAAAGGTTGTTCAGAACATCATCGGAATTATCGGAATTATGGAAATTTTATTTATTGTAATACAAAAGTTTACACAAAGCTTAAACTTTTTAGGTATCCATAAGGGGGTTTTTTTGAACAATAGTTATAGTTAATATTATTAAATATTCATTTATGCATATCCGTAGTAAAGTAATTGATAAATATGGTAAGACTATCTTTTTTACCGTTCGACTTGGAATGAAATTGTGGCTAGAAATGCGCCACTCTCAAAAGCCGCAGTGACAAATGATATCATGAGTGTCAATCAATTACATATGAAGGATATAAAGATTTTCGACAAGTACTACCTTTGTCATCCGGAGTCTATCTAGGTATTTGTTGTTTTTGTAAGATGGACTGCGGAAGTTAAAGAAACTTATAAATTGAAGGAAAGAATTTCTTCACTTACAGATCATTCAAAAATTGATCATTCAATTTGATCGTTCAACTTGAATATTTTTTTATAAAAGAAAAAATATATATATATAAACATACAAACACACATATATACATCGCTTATCTCCACACTTTTTTTTAAAAAAATAAAATTTTGATTTGAAAACATAAAAAATAAAATATAAATATTAAATCATTAAAAAGTTAAAAAATTTCTAAAATTTTTTTTATAAAAAAAATTTTTATAACAATCAATTACCAATTTTTTTTATTCTTTTCTTTTTTTTTTAAATTAAATCAATCATGTCTAAAATTAATTACTCCCAAATTTTTCAACCTTTAACTAATTTATTTACTCAAGCACAATTGAATACAATTCTTTTGGCATATCTACCATCAAAATTAGAATTTTATTTGACTGGAATTATCGCGGTTGATATGTTTATAACTAGTGTTGTGGCATGCGCAATTTCCACTTCAATTCCTGCTTTGTTTCAATTTATTTCTGTTACAGGAACTCCATGGGGAAATAAAAAAACTATTACAATTCAAATTGAACATTGTACTCAAGGAAAATATGGTTACTCTTATACAAGTGTATTTTATGAAGCTTTATCTTGGTTAATTTCTCAACAAACAAAAAAATTAAATGATGGTTCATTTGTTATTCAACCTGTAAATTCGATCTATGATGATGATGATGATGAAGATGATTGCGCTCCTCCAAATTTTAATATTCTTCCAGAAAAAAATCAAAAAATTACAATTGAATATAAAGAAAAAAAATATGATGTTACATATCAAATTCCCGGACAAGATGATGATGATGATGATGGTATTGGTCGAAGATCAAAAAGTAAACAACAATTGAAACCTTCAATTTATTTAACAACCACTGAAGAATCAAATGAAGCAAGTGTTGATGCTATGAGTGAATTTTTAAATGAAATTGTAAGATCTTATTTAGAAATTCAGAAAAAATCAAAAGTACGTTCAAGGTATGAAAGATGTGAAGATTATTGGAATTTTGTTCAAACATTATCTTCTTCTCGTGGATTAGAAAGTGTTGCATTAGATGAATCACATGAAAAATTATTGAAAAAAGAATTGGAAACATTTGTGAATGATAAAAGTTTTTATGAAAGAATTGGAATGCCTTATAGACGTGGTATTTTATTATATGGTAAACCAGGAACTGGAAAAACTAGTTTAATAAATGCCATTTCTTCCCAATTATCTCGTGATATTTATTATTTAAATCTTAAAAATATTAAGGATGATACTGAATTAAGTGCTGCATTTAGTGATGTTCCAGGAAATCAAATTATTGTACTTGAAGATGTTGACACACAATCAAAAGTTCTTCATAGGCGTACAAATGATTCTGTTTCATCAAACTTCTCATTATCATCTTTAGTTGAATCTTCCGATAAAAAAGATGGTAAAACAGATGGTAAACCAGATGATAATAAAGCTAAAATTGATAAATTTGCTGATTTTAGTTTATCAACTTTTTTGGGATGTTTGGATGGTCATATTTTAGCTGAAGGAAATATAATTATCATGACAACAAATCATGTTGAACATCTTGATCCTGCTTGTATTCGTCCTGGTCGTATGGACGTGCAACTTAATCTTGGTTATTGCACTCACTATCAAATTAAAAAAATGTATAGGAGTGTCATTGAAAATCCTGAAGCTGAATTTCCTCAAGATATTCTTGAAAAAATTCCTGAAAAATTATTACCTCCTTGTGAAGTTATGATGACCATGATCTTATATCGCAGTGAAATTGATCTTATCCCACAAAAGATTTATGAATTAGTCGCAAAATACATTGACGTAAAATCTGAAGATGCAGCATCTTCTAATTTAACGGAAATGAATGAAACAAAATCGGAAGAAGTTAAGGATGAAAATAAGGATAAGAAAGAAGATGTTAAAAGTGAGAATGAGGAAGTTAAGGATGAAAATAAGGATAAAAAAGAGGATGTTAAAGATGAAATTAAGAAAGAGGATGTTAATAAAATTAAGGAGGGTGTTAAAGATGAAAATAAAGAAGAAAATAAAGAGGATAAGATAGGAGAAGAAATCATAAATGAGGCAAATATAAACAATTTAAATGAAGAAGATAGCGATAGTAATACAGATGTAGAATTAGAAGTTGAAAACGACAAGATAAAATATTTTGAAACAATAGAAACATTAACAGTCACACCGCAAATTGCATAAAAATTTATAGAAATATAATTTTGTAAATATATATTATTTAATAATAAAAAAAAAAAATTAATCTATAAATTCTGAATACTGATTTTACTTTGACATATTTACAGTATTAATAAAAAAAAAGGTATATAAAGTATAAACATACAAAATATGGAAAATACGCAGGGGCACTGGAAATTATTATTTAAATACCGATCATTTATGATCACGTGATATCATGAACTTCATTTTTTTTTTTGAATAAACGCCTTATACTTACTATAGAACCTTTAAAGTTACGTCCTATGCGTATTTTTCCTGCTCTACAACTTTACACATCAGAATAAAAGGGTTTAGAATACTAATTTTGACTTTTACATATAACATAATATAGGAGGGTACGTTGCTACGCACATGCGTAATCATATATATATAAATTTTCAATGTTATAAAATAATTTTTTTTTTTAGTTCATGAAACAGAAATTTTTTCCAAAATCTTATTTTAAAAGCTGCACATGCTATACCCTTAAGAGGATTAGAATTGAAATACTTTCCTGATACGTGGTTGGAATTTAAATTTATTTTTATAGATTTAATCACTAACGTCTAAACATACTGTATAGTTTAATCTTTAGAATATATGTACATAAATTTAAAGAAATTTAATCGTTAGCGCTATTGAATTTTGATTCAAACTGGACATTCTTACAATTCAAACGCAACGAGTATGGATTTCAAAGATAAAATAGCGTCATCAGAACTTTCACTCAAAACAATTATTAATATTTTAGGTGAGAAATTATCCTCTAGACCCCGTAAAATCAATCCACCACTCCAAAGTAATTGTTACTGTGACAAATTCTCGTTGAAAAGTACAATATTTAAAATATAAATGGTTTTGGTACGAAATCTTGAAAATCATTTGAAAATCCTGACAAGTCAAAATCCCGACAAAATTATAACATTTAAACTAAATATTACATATTGCAACAAATTATTTTATTAGAACACACATCACAAAATTGTCGATATAATGACTTGTCGGGATTTTGGATTGCCAAGATTTTGGATTGTTAGTCATGCAAGTGACTGTCGAGATTTTGATCGGATACCGATTTGGATTTGTTGAAGCAACATACTGTTCTCATATGGGCGGATTTGGCTTGACATTCTGATCATCAAGTGAGCCAAATACGCCCATATGTGGATGCATCCCTCTAACTCTAGCTGATAATATTAAAGACAATAATGTAAAGTGTAACAAGCTATACGGAAAAGCGATCTTACCTCTGAAAATTATTATATCAATTAAACCTTGCTAATTTTAATCTCACAATAAAATTTATCTACAGCAAAGTTAACAACATGAGGCCATGAGCCGATAATTCCTCCCTATTTTACTGAAGTAGTTGAAGAAGGGAGATGGAGTTAACCCTTCAAATGAATGAAATAAAATGATATAAAAAAATTCTTAATTATCATTAAAATTTATAATTACATTGCATTATTTTATTAGATTCAGAGTGAACTTAAAATGTTTAAATAAAAATAAAGATTTCACAAATAACATAAATCTACATATTGTTCATCGATCATTATAAGTTACTACTCAAATGGTGATCCAAAACTTTAAATAGGAAAGTAATTAAATATTTCCTTTTACGAATTCATTAATAATGTAAGATAGTGGCATATTGTAATTTATGCTGGCTCAGTTACATCATATGCTAAATCTAATACCGTCTACAGAATGAATTGAATAAACTTATATATGTTAACTAAAACACCTGAAAAACAGAAAATATTTTTCACAATAGAAATGTAAATAAATAATAAAGAATAAATTAGCAAAAATTAATTCTATCTTTACTAGTATTCCAGGCTATAGTGAATCCGCTCAGTTGGCGCAACGCATATCATTTTAAATTTCCGCGCATGTGATTGAATTTAGATAGGCATAATGGCGCTTATATAATTTTATTTTATATATAAGAGCGCATATGACTTCATACTAGGTTGCGCACAAAACTTTTATGAATAATGTGCGCTCTGCGCGTTTAAAAATAATCTGAATTTCCAACACCGAATTGGTGACCCATTTAGATATATCAATTCATAAAATATGTCATTTACTTTCCTAATTAAGGAGTCATACCACATGAATCTTGACCCGTCACGGCATCACGTACGTGAAACTTGACCCACGTTATCGATTCTTAGGAGGGACATGTTATAATACCAAATTTGTTCTATACAATAATAGGATAAAGAAAAATTTTTTCTCGAAGAAGAAAAAAAAAATATGTATATATAAGGACTCCCACTTTAATTTTCTCATTTTATATTCACGAATCATAAAAAAAAAAAAGAAAATGGCTAATGAAGAAAAAGAAAATATTTCTGACAAATTATCTGATCGTGAACAAGAAGTCATAATTATTAAACATGATGATAAAAATGTTGGTGTCACTACGTTAAGCTATAATCGTGGTGTAGATGGGTCAAGCTCTGATAGTAGTACCACTAATGATAACAAGTATCATATCGCAATTTGTCAGGATGGGGAAATTTGTCGCTACATTCGATACCGGTAAATTCATTATTTCATCTTTGCTGTTGCATAAATTAAATAATTCCAACGCTAATCTTTTTTTAATTTAGAAACTCTTCAAATTAAGTTGTTGGAGAACGTCGATAGTATTTACAAAATGATTGAGCAATTTAAAATAGGCCGTGATTTCACTATATCTCAAGAACGACAACACACTATAATTGTCGATGGCGATGATGAAGGAAAAGAAACCACCTCGATTAATGATGAAAATTTTGGATGTTCTATCGATATATCGAATTTATACACAAAAGACGTGAATAAATATTTCATTTATGTCGCCTTATCTCGTATAGTTGATAAGGAACTGCTGACGAGTACACTGACTTCTAATCCAAAAAATAGTCAAATGACCAGGTCATTTGCAAATACTGCAATCCACCATATTGATTCATTTCAAAAGGAATCTGTACTAGTAAATATTAACTACATAAATAATCAACCAATCCGTATAGTGCCTTAATCCACATGATGTTCAACTTACTACATAGCCCACATACAGCCAACACAACTCACATAGCCCGCCACAACCTGTACACAACTCACACAGCCCACACCTATTTAATCAAGAAAAATCCTGTTTGAATATTAAAGCATAATAAATTTCTTTAATATTGTGATAAACTGATAATAACTTGCTTTTAAGTATAATGATTTATTGATAATAATTTATTTATTAATTATTTTAACTTTCCTATTAAATACATGCTTTGCCCTATCCAATAACTAATCTTTAAAAATATAAAATATAAAGTGTTTATTATATAAAATCATATTACAGTATATTTATTAAATTTTAAATATGAGTCATCCCATAAGTAATAATAAATGGATATGACTATATAAAAAATTTGATGCAAAATTAATCTTCTTTTATATTATGCAAATTTTGTAACATGTAATTGATTTTATGACACTTGGTGGCTGCACAGCCCTTTATAATGGCTTAGTTATTATCAAACACACCCACATCAGGCTGAAAATGAAAATAAACAAAAAAATATATTTTGTAATATTCTTGCTTTATAATAAAAAAACTATAAATATAAATATGATTTTTTTTACCATTCTTCTTTTCAAATTCTTCTCAGGTTTCATTGTTAAAATAAAATACAAATCTCTTAATATCCATTATGGGGCATCATTAAAAAAATATATAAATATACAAATATTTAACTTATAGAACATTATAATCAGCTAATACACAATTACACATTATATCCTGTAAAACATAATTGTAAATTAATCATAGATGGAATCTTTATACAACCAATATTTTAAATATATTGCTAGTGACTTGACTAAAATTAGTTGAATAATATTATTGAAGTAATCACAACTAATAAACTGATGAGGACATTATATGCTTTACCCTATCCAATAACTAATATTTAAAAATATAAATAAAATATAAAGCGTTTATTCTATAAAATCATATTACAGGATATTTCTTAAATTTTAAATCATAAGTATGCACTAAATTATTATATGATAATAAATGGATATGACATTATAAAAAATTTGATGCAAAATTAGATTTTATGACATGTTAGTACAAATACCAGTCAACTTTATGGATTTATTACAAGTGGCTACACAGTCCTTCATACCACTAATGGCTTAGTTATTATCAAACACATCAAGCTGAAAATGAAGAATAAACAAACAAACAAATATATGACAATACTTGCTTTATAATAAAAAAATCTATAAATAATTAATCACTATTCTTAAATGAATATTTTCATAATAACAATCACTATTAAAACAAGTTATTAAAGAAAATATTTTAAATATATTGCTAGAAACTTACTAAAATTAATTGAATAATATTATTGAAGTAATCACAACTTGATAACTGTTGAACTGCTAATAAACCAATGAGGAAATATTGACTAAAGAAGCAACTAAATGATATTTACTACTTTTCTCTTTTTAATATGACCTGTCATCATTTCAAACCCTCCAACAAGCCTGTTTCAAGGCTTTGAAGGCTGCTTGCAAATCAAAGGTCCGTCAACTAGAAGGTGGATATCGTACGCAGAGTTCTAGACCATTCAGAATATTACTATATTAGAATACTATTAGATAACCTATAAAAATAGAAATTGCAAGTTACTTACAGCATACAAACATTACTTGCAAAGAAAGCATGCATTTATATATTTATATTCCATTTAGCAATATTTGTACTTAAAATTGAAAAGTATTAAGTAGAACAACATTGTGGAAAATGAATAAAAATACTATATAAGAGGACTGGGAGGTGGATTATAATGCACCACTTATTATTTGTAAAAGCTTTAGTGATTTTCCAATAACCAACTATTGTGGTCCTGATTTTATATATACTGTATATATTTCTGCAAAGTTATAATTCAGTTTTCATATTCCGGCCTATAAAGAATTTAATATAATTTTTCTGCTATTTTCAATTACAGCTTTCCATTAAAACAAAATCAGCTTTTAAATTTCTTAATTATTAGTATATAAGACTTCATTTAACCGGATGGAAAAGTATCAAACTAATGCAAAATGGTGCAGTGAAATGTTATTTTAAAGCAGATTTCTTGTAAAACTTGAGAATTTTTACTATGAAATATATAAGAGAAAATCCTTTAGCAAGAAAATAGTTTTAATTTTTTATCTAAAGATAAAAAATTAAGATGATATACTATTTAAGCAACTATCTGAGAAATAGAATTTATTAATTTAAAAGCTTTATAAATATTTTAGCAATTAACCAAAATAAAAATTTTAAAATTATGAAAACAACGGATACTCTATTCAAATAATTTTTTTATCAATAGAAATTTAGCTTTATAAATGTGCACAGGATGATATTAATTCATTCCAAGCAGCGACAACTAAATGGGGAATAGAAAGTGAAGGAATTTATGAATGGAACGTTATTGTTGAGAAAACTAATGATAATATTTGTATTGGATTTGGTAGAGTAAATACTTTACTAATAGCACACAATATAAGACAATTACTAATTGTTTGAATTTGTTTATATACCATTTTCTTTAAACAAAAAGAGAAAAATGGAAGAATACCAAAGATTGTTTTTCTTTATATCCATAATCAGAAAATATTTTTATCTATAGTAGTACAATATAAGTGTTAATAATCCATGAAAATTTGCAGATATATACCTTATGCACCAATTTCTAACTTGAATAAATCAGGTGATCAAAAAAAAAGTTACCAATCGGGAGGTATCTGATTGGCCAGCATATATATACATGTATCATCCATCCAAAATATGGAATCTTCAGAAAAGTGATATGTCTCGAGAAAAGTTTAACCTGTCTAGCAAAAACTATTACAGTCAGAAAGAAAATCACCAGCAGGTATATGTTTGGCACATCAGTTCATTGTGGACCGGGGTTGAAGAACAATTATGCAATCAGAAGGAGAAAGAAAAGTATGAAGATATTGAAAAATTGTCTGTGTTTTGTTTTAACAGAAAACAAATTAAAGATTTACAGACATCATTTGGGAAATTGCATAGAGTTGGGTATGTTGGGAGATGCTAAGTGGACAGAAGAAGAAAACTCAATGAAATCGTGTAATTATGTATATGCGATCATAAAAGTACAGAACAAGGAAATACTGCTAAGCCCGTGTATTTTATGCCAGAAGCTAGCGGACTGGTTGGATCAAAAGGGTTGGGCGGTAGTTTGCTCATGATAGTTGATACATTTGTTAGTGAATCTGTCCGCTGTAATATTGCATCCTCTATTAGGTATGATCTAGACATTAATGGCGCAGATCCAGAAAGGCTTGACAATTTTTATGAATGTGTTGTGGAATTTGGTTTTGACCATATTATTGTAATTGGAGAGATAGTATATGGAATGCTATTTCTAGATTGCTATAGATGAGTTTTTCAATGGGAAGCAATGCAACAGGTATTGTACCCATTAGGGAACTCATTAGAGGATGTAAAATCAAGACTGAAACAGAAAAATCAAGTAATATGGATTGCAGAAGATGGTGTTGTGTATGAGGAACCTAGTGATATGTATGCCTACAAGCATTATTATAATGAGAGTGAAGATATGTTATAATTTTTTTATTAACTTTCTTAGATTTTTTAAACCCAAGCGATATAAGTGATACAAGTGATTCAAGTGATGTAAGTGTTATAACTGATGCTAAAGACTTAAAGAAAAAGAAAAAGAAAAAGATAAGATAATGGACATGATAATTGCTAAATATAAAAATTTAATAATCATATTTAAAAAGAATAGATGATTCTGCATTAATTCCAATAGAAGCAATTGATGTACAGTATATTGTGCTTACTTTGTAAATTATCACTTATTTGAATAAATTATTTTAAAATTTATTGTAATATATTTGTACAAATTATCATTCGCACATTATTTTGTATTAGTTTATTGCGCTTTTCAAAATTGTGCTGCCCCTACAGGTCATTTATTAAAAAAATTATTAGATTAAAGGGCACAGAATTCTGAAAACTGCGATATATCAAAAATAGCATGTATATTAAAATATTTTTACATATAAACTTGTAAAAGAAAACCTGCATTTTTGCACAAAATTTATATAATACAAATTTTTATATAATAATTTGGACAATATTGGAATATTTGTACTTTAATATGTAATATTTAACTCCTTAAAATTTAGTGTATAAAAAAATTTTTTTAACAATTTCTTGTTTCTTAATTATTAATGTTATAATGCATTCTTCATGTTTTTAAATACATTAATTCTTCTTATTTATGCTGTCTTTATTTACCGTTATCATAGCTGTGGTCACGATATGAAATCTCAATTAGCTTTAGGTTCGCCAAATATTAAAGAATTTAAAGTTTCAAACCAATCGGCATTAACGATAAAACTTGTTAAATGTCCTTGATACTGTATATTTTATTTCATTTACATCACAATTTTTAATTCTTTAAATAATGAAACTAGAATAATTCACATCAATTAGAGAATATATCCGTTATCCTTTAAAAAACGGATATCTGCAGATATTCGGATATCCGGATTGAACAATATTATCAGCATGAATCATCACATGATTT